TATACTGGTTTGAGTCCCTACCCTTGAACAACAAAATCTATTATGACTTGAATGGAAAGTGATCGAGAAAAAATTATACCCAAATTAACCCTTTCCAGAACACAGAGCATCTTTTAGGTGCCATGTGCATGCCCTCATATAAAATTTCAAAGTTTAAGTAAAAATAATAATTCTAATTCTGTTTCAACAATTGTTCACACAAAAATATTTTAGAATTGATACTCTGTTATTTTGCAGCATTTATTTAGTGTAATTAAAAAAATAAAAATTATAAAAATGTTCAACCTAACGTTTCTGCACAGCTCTGAGGAGACAGAATTTTTAGAACTTTTCTGTTTATCTCAAAGCATCATTTTTTATATGTTAAGAAGCTAACAACCCTTGAGAATACAATTAGCCGCAGCATGTTTCTTTCATAATTTTCCTTCTTTGTTTGAGGTTTTATTATTACAAGGCCATGTTCTCAGCCTTTTATGGTGTCACAGCATGGGATCAGAACAACAAAGGAAAGATGAAATAGCACTGGATATAATAGATTATAAACTACTTACACCTTTGTAAAGTCAATAAAGTGGTGTAAGAAGTAATGTAGAGTTTCATGAGAAAGTGATTAGATGTAGAAACAATCAACAAATCAACTGATGAGAACTTTGGAATTCTAAAGAACAAACCTCATATCTAGGAATTTTATAAACTTCATTTAGATCAGGGTTTCCTGAAATGGTCGATGAGACTGTACAGAGGGTGAACAAAGACCTAGGGGTCGATAGAGGGTTGAAAATGGTCCCTATTCATATGCTTGTTAAAGCCCATCAGGCCCATCCATCTCATTTGAGTAAATTAAAACCTCATTCTTTTTCACATTTTATGTTTCCTAACAATTGTATTATGATGAATAAAGGTTGATTATATACTGAAGTTTCTTGACTATGAAATTTCATTTATAATTTACATTCTAAGAATTTGGGGGTCGATGACAGCTATATAAGTTTGTCAAGGGGTTGACAACTCAAAAAGGTTTGGGAAACCCTGATAGTTATCTTTGTTTAAAGAGCATGGTAGGTAACAACAAAACATTCCAATGATTCAAATCCTTAATTATTGGGTATTATTGCACTTAAATAATTTGTAATTTACTGAAAAAACTATACTTATTAGGTATAAATTGATCTTCACCCAAAATACTGTCACTCAGTCTGATCCAAAGCCATTTTGAAAGGTCAGGCTCTAGGCAGTTTCTGTGGTGTTTTTTAAAATATTGCCACATAACTGGCAAAATAATGGATCAAAAAAAGTATGTTAATGAATATCAATCACCCTGAAATCAACTACATGTATGTTATTAAATGGAAATTTTGTGATAAATTTTAACAAAACATTTACATCTTGAAATGAAAGAAAATATTTTAGTGTTTTTTTCAAAACAGTTTCACAATAAAGTTTTGGAAGTTTCATAAAATAAAAATTATAGGAAAACTAAATCAAATTATATGAATTTTTCATAATCAAATCTAGACACTACTTGATAAGTTATTCTAAGTTTCATGCAGTTTGTTAAGGTGTTTACTGTGAAAAAAAACTAAAGGGATATCAGTGACACCCCTCTGGTCCAGAAATAGTTAATCAATTCTAGTGTCACATTGGACTATATCAAAAGAAACAAAAGATTTCTTCAGACTAACCATCTCCAATCTGGGAATTATACTGGAAACAAGAATGAATTTTAACAAAGGTAATTTGAAGTTCAATAGGAATAGGGTAAAAAATAGAGCATCACTTTTCATAGATTGAATATAAAAAATTGAAAAGTCTGAATTTGCAAAAAGATGTGCAATCATAACTGATACTGTCAGAAATTCTAAACTCTTGCATGTCTATCCATCGATATGTATCGCCATCTGTTGGGTTAAAAAAGTATTTAACTATGTGCATGATATGTTTACCACTTATAAAAAATCTGTATATATTTATCAGAGTATCAAAAGCAGATACCTACAAACAAGTCAAGTAAACTGGACAAATTTTGTAGCGATAGTGTGAGCCATCTAGGGGCTAGCCCTGCTGAAATGATCAGGTAGGTAGGTAGGTAGTAGACGAAAAAAACTGATGTTTTAGAAATTTTTCAATTGCTATACCAGAAATGCTAGCGACTTTTTTTTAGCACATTATTAGTATCAGAGTATCAAAAGCAGATACCTACAAACAAGTCAAGTAAACTGGAGAAATTTTGTAGTGATTGTGTGAGCCATCTAGGGGCTAGCCCTGCTGAAATGATCAGGTAGGTAGGTAGGTAGTAGACAAAAAAACTGATGTTTTAGAAATTTTTCAATTGCTATACCAGAAATGCTAGCAACTTTTTTTTAGCATATTATTAGTACATATGTGCGTAATATATCGTAACCAATACTTTGAATGGTTGGTTTTTCAGCATGTGAATTATTTGGAAACCTCATAGATCCCTACTGTTAAGCACTACTGTATTTAATAATAACACTATATCCTAAGGACACATGCTCCACCTATGTTATTGTTCTTCAATCCTACTGAAATATAAGTCATAACCTTGAGATATCAGCTCACCTACCATCAGAGGATACTTCTGTCTACCTTCTTGCATAACAAGCATTACTGCAGAAAAACACTTCCTTGACAGAATGGGTATTGACTACTCAAGAATAACAAAGGACAAAGGCAGCTAGAACAAAATTAATTTAAGTACTTTCTTGACCAAGTGTTATATGAAACCTGCACGTATCCAGAACAAAGATTAAATTTATAATAAACATAACAATATTGCACTAAAATAAAAATGCATGGTTTATTCATATACCACATTAAAAAATCATTATTTGTTAATTTACTACCGTAGTAGAGTACTTTTCTTTATCGATCTTCTGTCTAAAGTTTGATTCATAAAGAAAACCACTCTATCATGACAAACTCAGTGCCATAATTATCCTTGAAAGTAAATGCAACCATATATGGTTGGATAGATACTATGTAGATATACAATAGAAATATTCAACGAGTAGAGGGGACAAAATTCATGGTAGGACACATCAAATTATCACATAAGAGAAATCTGTAAGAATATTGAATTTATAATAGCTTAACTGAACTTTGAAAAGAGCATCTGAACCTAAATTTTTAAAAAAAGAGCAAACGCTCGTATGCTGAGATAGTTAAGCAATAAACAAATCTGTCAAAGCATCAAAGTACAGATCAAGGGTATGGAAAAACGGAATGAACAAATGTAACAATATGGAATTAGAAAAATGCCATGTAAAAGTTAGACAGAAAATAATACTACATGCCTGATGGTGTTTGGTTTAAAAATTCAATGAACAGAGTGTATGAAATACTAGACAGGACAAGTCAAATCATTACATGACAGAGAGTTGTAAAAAAAATATCAGTTAGCAAACATTATAAAGCAAATCAGAAAGAAGAAAGTGTAAAGAAGGATAACAGCCTTAATTCTTGAAATCAATGGAACTAAATAATATTATTTTTTGAATGTATGTATTCAAATAATAGGGTGCTTTACCTCTTTGAATTCTTGGGAATTTTAAACTCCTAGGGAATCATTCTATTATTTGAAGCATTTTACATTATTTTGAAATGCTTCATGAAATGATAAATATAATTTTATAAATTCCATAAGTGATATACATACATGCAATATGAAGAAAAGTTGGGCACATCTAATGAATGCATATGAGGAGTTACACACTAATGCTTGACCAAGAAAGGAAATGTATATGTCAAGTATAAAGTAAGATGCATTCCAGGTGGTATTGAAAATCAACTGTTTATATTATCTATAAACTGACATGACCGAAACAGAGAGAAAGCTATGAGAAAGTCTGTTTTAACTTCATTTGAGACTGGACACAACTTCCATAAAAAGAATTAGCAAGGAAATCAGAGACTCTGGGCAAAAATTTGATCTGAAGAGGACGAGGAGAAATACATGCAAATAGGCAACCAATTTACAGTCTTCAATCATAACCAATTGTCAAATTAGTTTTGGATTTAGTTCCGAGAATTATAATGAGTCAACAAAATTCATCCAATTAAGTGATAGATTTCCTTGCAAGTTGGATGTGTACACTGTTCGGAGAATTTTAAGAATACTATAGAAATCCATATAAAAACCCATGTTTTGGGGCTAAAAGTAAGTTTCCTGGCTCATATCAAGATGCCAAACAACCTGCTGCTGGCTGAAAAAACTCATGCTTCTGATCTAACTATGTCCTAGCCCAAAACAACACTGAAGATGTCTAACCTACAAGAAAGCAAACATTTCAAGCTCAAGCTCCATGTAAGCATCTATTGCTATTTCTCTCTCAGTCAAATAACATAGTTAGAAGTTGTGTATGAGCAGCTTTCAATCACTATGATAACTTACTGGTAGTATTAAGTAATTTAATGGATGTTATGAAAAGTTTAACTGATGAACAGTTACTTGCTTAGATTGAAGAAATTAGTAATTCTAACAGTGAAACTTTTCAAGATACGTTCAGTATCTTGATTTAGCCGAGTATCATAATATACTGCATTAAAGTGTTGTTTGTGTTTTAATCTCAGTCTCTGAGTCAATTCTTTATTTTCACTGTAAACTTTCTCGAGTTAATGACTTGTGTACTCCACTCACGACTATAAACCTGGATTTTAAATAAATTTCTTGTTAACTAGATTAAGTCAAACTCCAAACGACTAGTCCACACAGTGTCCATTTTTACATATTAATAATTCCACAAGATTAAATGCAAGAAAAACTCCTCTACTTTTGTTTGCTTTCTTAGTACTGCACATAATTTGAAAAAAAAAAACTTTCAAAAGTTACACATTTCAAGTTGCAATCGGAACACTGGGTTAAGAAGAGGTTCATCAAAATGTTTAAATATACAATAACAGATATCACAGCAAATACATATTTTAGATTTTTTGGATTGATGATCAATCATACACCATCCATTTTCCACTCATTTTCTTACCTGGCATAATAAAAGACATGTATGGTTTGATGTTGAGCCAATCTTTGCAATACCTGGTGTCATTCAGTTTCTTAATAAACTCAAACTGTACAGGAACCTAAAAAATTGGCAAAAAAAGCACATATATGTAAAAACTTAAAATGCACATAACTTCTTAGTTTTCTTTTATTTTTACTTATGAAGAGAGAGAAACATTTGTACTCTATAATCAAACTCTTTTAAAAACATCTAAGTATTAAATGTAAAATTGGGTTCTTATATGCAAGTACATAAAAATTTTCAATCATTTTATACTACAGCACATTAATAGAATAATCAAATTTTAATAGCCATGTTTTTTAAAATATACATTCTTTTACCTGGCCTGTGTTGGCAATGGTAAGGAAGCGAGAAACTGGCTCAATAAAAGTCACTCTTTCAAAATGTACCTAAAAATATTAAGTCAATAATTACATATTTTTGCTGGGATCAATAAAAAAATATGACATTTCACAAAAACTGTTAAAAGTATTATACATAAAAAATAAGCCAATTTACAACCCAAAGCCCATTATCTACCATTGCTTCAAAGAATATAAAAAAATGAATTCCTTTCTCACACAAAACGTATAGTAAGAGTAAAATAAAAATAGCACAGAGGATTGGGTACATTAACACAGTTTTGAATATATAAATCAGCAAGTCATGTGAACAGCACAGCCAATGTCATCACACAGTTGAAAAGCATATATCGGATTTACATTTTGTAGGTTGTGTGATGACACCAAAAATTTATCACCTTTGGGAAAGGTAAGTAACAGCTCTTTCCTATGCAAGATATTCATACACTCAGATCATAACAATGAGCATAGAACAGAGATTTAGAAATTTCAACACAGTATATATGCATTTGACAACATTTAAAAAAAAAAAAAGAATTATGGATCAACTTAAGTCACTAAGACTATCCATAAAGAGATCTGCAACAAGTCATACCCCAGCAGTGACAAACAAAGTGAAATGCCTTGTAACAAGTGAGAATCCACAAACATAAAGATTGGTGGCAAAAGACATCTATGTGTCCCAGGCAACAGTACACAACTAATCAAGAAGAACGTGAATTTGTTAAAGCAGCACAAGTTACTTCCATGACCTATCCATTGAACCATCACATAACCAAAGGATGAAATGAATATTCATACTACTTCATATAAAGACACACCTACAGATTTCTATGTGATTGGACTATTGAAAAGGGCAATTGGAAACTATTATTCTAATATACTTGATGGCTTATGAAGAGCATGCTGGGAGGGGTGTTGCTTTGAACATGAAAACGTTACCATACTATGCTGCAGGGCTACTGTCAAGAAGTATGGTCATCATATAGAGCATGACTTTATGTGATAACATGGACTGTAACAATGTGGTGAGTCTCCAAAATCATTTTAATATAATGTAATACAATGTCAGTAAGTCATAAATAATGAAAGAATGTCATCAACAATATGAATTAATTCAGATCCTTGTAACTTTTGCATTTCAGGTATAATTTTAGTTACAGGCCGAACCCCATCTGATGAGTTTTATAATAAGCAAAAGGCCTCGTGGGCACTGAAAGTTATCATTTTCCAACACTGAAAATGTATTTCCAATAAATAACCTCTATGTATGCAATTTTTTGCTTGCCACTAGACTTGAGGCTCCCATCTAAACTCATGTTCCTGTGTGGTATTGCTGTACTGTTGTAAGCAAATGAGCATGCGACAACATTCCACCAATAGGAGTGCGACACATCCTTCTAGCACAGCTGACTCCCTCTATACTGATTGTTCAACCATCACTTTGAGATTAGGCAAGAAAAGATGCACCACAAGTGGGAAGCGTGAGAAGAGGTATCTACTGGAAATACATTTTCAGTGTTGGAAAAGGTTAACTTCCAATACGATACCTTACCTCTGCCCACATATTTGCTAGAATTTCACAGTGAAGGGGTGGAGAGATCAGTGCAAAAGTTACGTAGATGATCCCCCTTCGAAAAGTGCTCTAAGAGAACCCATGGAGTGCAACAACCAATACCATGAAAGTATAGGGGCAGGCTGCACTCCTTCTGTATGAAGGATACTTTTCACTTGTAGTGTGTGTGTCACCAAGTCGGACAGAAAAGAAGCAAGTCCAGAAACAGTGTATAGTAAATGGGCATACTGTATGGTGCAATGTGGCTAGGGTTTGTCAGACCATACATGGTGGGTCAATTTCAGTCCAAAACCAGGCAACATTGGGTATTTTTCATACAGTCTATGGTAAGAGAAGGGTCCCAAACATTTTCACTTCCATACTAGGAAGCAGAAGGGAAAAAGAATTTCTGTGCCACTATCTGCGGTAGTGTTCCTGTGTGATAATTTTTTACACCTCCAACACCAGATATACTGGCAATTCTAGGATGGGTGAAAGCAAACGTAGTGGGTAAACTCCAATCCAAAACAGGGCAGCATTGGGAATTTTCGTCTGATCCATGTTAGGAAAAGGGTCCCTAGCAATCATTAGTGAAGACTTATGTTTCTAGTCATGTGCCAATCCAACACCAAACTGCCCAGGAACCAACATCCAGACAGCAGTAGGATGGGGGAAAGTCAGCTGGAAGGGTGAAATGTATGTGGTGTATCATCTCCAGTCCAAAACAAGGCATCATCAAGTAAAGGCAACAGAAAAAGTGTTGTCAAAAATTGAGTATTAATCACTGGAACAAAAAAAAAATGACAGGTCTACACATGCAAGTGTCAAATCTCAAAGTGATGATTGAACAATCAGTATAGAGTGAGTCAGTTGTATTATGAGCTACAGCACAGCAATGCAATGTGGAAACACATGAGTTTAGGTGAGAGCCTCAAGACTAGTGGTGAGTAAAAATTTTAGCATATAGAGGGCAGCACAAAATCAAGGAAAGCTAATATATGAATGGAGGTAGGGTATCAAACAAGAATATGATGGAGAAATAATTGATTTGAAATGTTATTTTACAAACCACTAATTTAAAATCCAAAAATATTTGCAATCAGGAATGAAATTTTGATCAAAGCTAACTACATAGATCAGAACTAAAAATATACCCAGCAATGAATGTAGTTAATTATACTGTTCAAACTAGCTTACTTATAACGATTCAAATGCATTGTTTCATTACTTGAGTACATTCACTATTAACAACATTCACAGCCATAAATTATGAATCTCATTTTGCAATAATTTTTGATAAATAGTAATACTAATAATAGTACTTCAGAGCCATATCTAAAGTTAAAATGTGACAATATACAACATTAGCATAATGTATAAAAATAACGTTTTAAAGAAACTAATCAAATTATACAGCTTTACCTCCATTTTATCAACAGTGACTTGGGGAAGAAATTCATTTTCTAGTTTGTCAAGTTTTTTCATAACTTCCTCATAAATCTTTCTGTACTTGATGTTATCTACAACTTTAATCTAAAAGAAAGAAGAAACGAAAATAATAACACTATATATACATCTCATTATTTTAATAAAAAAATAGTTTCTTACTTAAAATGATTTCTTTCTGATTTAATAGATAAAAGGAGACAATTTTGTTTTTCATACTTTTATCATACAAAAACCATTCTTTTTTTAGTGGTTGGTTGTTTTGAATTTCACGAGGACTATCTGCACTATCCCTCCCTAATTTAGCATTGTAAAACTAGAGGTAAGGCAACTAGTCATCACCACTCACTGCCAACTCTTGGGCTACTCTTTTACCAACGAATAGTGGGATTGACTGAAACATTATAAGCCCCCACGGCTAAAAGGGCAAGCATGTTTGGTGTGACAGGGATTCGAACCCACAACCAACAGATTGCAAGTAGAGAGCCCTAACAACCTGGCCATGCTGGGCTTTCTTTTTTTTTTTAGTGATGCATTACAGTAAGTACAGTCTCTTCTAACAAACAACAACATTTACTTCTCTAATAACATAGTTTTTATATTCTTTGTCTTACATACATTTAGTTGAAATTCAAATAACTAATAACTTTATGAAACAGTTGTTCATTAACATTTGTTAAAGTTTCAAAAGTTAAACTCATTTTCTTTATAATTTTTTGTTTATACTAAACTTACTCCAACTTCAAACACAGAACTAACAGGCTTGTGATCACTAATCATCAGAGAAGGGTGACTTCTGTAACAAAGCTGACTTATATGTTCTCCCTTCCACAAAATTCTGTCACACCATGCAGGAGGACGGTTCTTCTCACTGATAGAAAATCCCAAATGATATATTACATGGAAATATATAGTTGATATGTTTTACATGAATATCTAAGGTGACAATGATCACATCTTACAAAAATATCAGGTGACAAATTATATCTTATATGAATATCCTAGATGTTAGAAGCAGTATATTATATGGAAATCCTAGCTTGTACATGTACAGGTATAGAAATATCTTAGTTGATAAAAACTATGTATCTTTTGTGGATATCTTAGTTGATGGTGACTATATTTTATGTGGATACCCTAGTTAATAAAGACTACGCTTTATATGATAATCTCCATAATCTATATAAAAATTCCAGTTGATAAGCTATATTGCATAAAGATAGCCTAGCTGGCAGAAATTTTATCTTATATGTACATCCTACATGATAGAGTATATCATATATTGATATCCAAGTTGATAGAGACTAAGTTGAAAGACTATATATATTACATAGCTACCCTAGGTGATAGATGCAAAATCTTACTTTAATCTCATAAATGCCACGTCAATAGTAGATAAACCAAAGATGTTCTCTCTCATCTCATAATTTTAGATAATAAATACCATATTATACACAGAAATGCTATCTGATAGACTTTATCTTACATGGGTATTCTGGCTGATAGAAAATATATTTCACACAGATATCCCAGTTGATAGAGACTACAACTTGCACAGATATAATAACTGATAGAGATTACATCTTATATGGATATCCCAGATCAAGACTAACAGCTTAGGAACCCATAAGACAGTTCTAATCAGTCCACCAGTGACCAGGCAAAAATTAGAAATAAATAAATAAACACTAAACCAAGAATAAAGCTTTTTTTAGTGCATTTAACTAAGTTGAGGTTTAGATGCTTAATGGCATTCCACAGCAATAAATAAGGTATTAGTTAACAATAAGAAAAATGTATCACGGCTTGATTCAAGTTTATTGATAGTAAACACCAGTGTGATATAGTATCAGGTAAAAAATATTATGGAACTAATCCTAAAAGTCAAAGCCACTAAAAACAACCTTAGCTTAATTTTTGTTCACTTATTATTTTTGCCTGGTGGTTGATGGTCTCATCAGAATGCTTCATGGGCTGCCAGTTGAACAACCCAGTTCTATGCAATGAAGGTTACATCTCATATGAATTTCCTAGCTAATACAAGCTACATATTGTACATAAACAGAAAAAACTGTTATACTGATATCATGGGCATTTCCAAGTTTTTTCAGGGGTTTCCATTAGTAAAATCAATAATACACATTATCATTAAATGAGTAATTCATAAGTCAGTAGCAGTCCATTACATGATCTATACCAAAGCTCATGTCAGATAGAAGAAACAAATTAGCAAGTGAAAGAGGTTGTGAATATAAAATCATAAAACCACATTTGGCAGTTTCTACAGAATTAGATTTAATTATCTATGATCATCAAAGTGCAGCTGAAGCTCAAAAGGTGGGTCATTCACATCTGATAATCTACCCCTCCTCCTCCCTTTATCCCTAGTAAAAATCCATGAATATCCTAAATGACAAAGGCTACTTCTTCAATAGGTTTCTGAGATAGTAGACTATATCTTATATGTACTTTATTACCAATAGTGACTCCTATTTCTTATATAGAAACACCAACTGATGGACTAAACCTTTTAACAATGTTCTAGATGACAGAGCCTATTATGCACAAATCAATATGATTTTTTGGCAGATAACTGATACTTGAAAAAATATTGGCCAATATTGATAACTTTTATTTCATTATGGCCTAAGGAGAGAGAAGCAAACCTGATGAATACTAAACATAGAACTTCTTTCAGCTCCTCAATGCCAAATACAGGTCTGCAGTCTGTAGAAATTCATTTTACTGAAATATATTCAAGCCTTTCAAAAGACAATGTTCATATCATCTACCTTGCCTCATGTGGGAAACTAGGCCTTAGACTGGGACCAATTTAGAGCATAAAATATCTATAAGTGATCAAATATTTTTATGAGAAAACACAAATTCTTTGTTTGTATTCAGTGTTCACAGTGAGTTCAAAATTATTCTGAAAGTTAGCATTTTCTTAAATCAAAAATGTATTCAATAATACTTACCTCACTCACACTACAGCTATTACTTGATTGTTAGGGTTTCCTTTTCTTTGCCTATCTAAGCACTGGTTTAGTTTTTTTCTTGTTTGCTCCAGTCTTATATTCCCCACTTAATTGCCCTTGGCAATATCTGTCTCGTGACACTTTCCACCAATGTCAATGCACACTATATTCTGGTACTGTATATAAGCACCTCCTTCTGATAATTTTTTCACTTTTTTTATATTGACCACAATTTGCAATCTTTTAATGGGGAGAAAGGGTGGGAGAATGTTAAGGAGGTAAGAGTTATTAGATATACATTTCCTATATAAGAAAACAATAACTTTCAAAACATACTTACCACTTCTCACACTACGGTTAGAATCCCAAATTGTTAAAGCAGAGGTGCTGGTGAGGGCATTATCCATACAGAATACATCTTTATAGATCAAGAGCGTGCCAAAAAAATGGAAAATTAAAACCCTAGTGGTGGAATAGCACTACATCCAGAACAGGTATGCTCTTCACCCGGAACCTAAAACATGTACTGCGGGTGGAATTTGATGTTATCTGTCATCACCACTGGCCAGGTCTCAACCAGGTAACCAAGGTCTCACTGCTCAGGGTTGGAATTATAGGGCCATCGTCCCTAAATCCCACATTGGTGGCTAGGGCATTTGGACAGCAATCTACATATTTGTAAGTGGATCCCAACCTGTAGCTATAGAATGATGCATTCTGAGCCACCAAAATCATGACGAGAAGGTAAGCAACACTGAAGTGGATAAACCCTTTTCTCAACCTAAAGAAGTCCAAAAGGCAACATCCCAAACTGAGAATGATGGTATCCTGTATGCCATACTCAACCTGAGGAAACAAAACTCAACTGGTCTGGAATTATGAACACTCATCCTCACTCCCAAACTGTGTAGGCAAGGTAAATCCTACTCAGGAATTATGGGGAGGAAGTGGAACAAACAATGCTCCACCAAGTACCCAGGATGGACCACTCTGAATTCAGAATTACGAGGAGACAATATACCCTCTTCCATGAACAATGTACTGAACCAATATTGATCAAAAAAGAAGGGCCATGCTCAACCAAACCAGACAGCTGAGCATCAAATCTGATCCAATATTATGAGAAAGCTGGTGCCACTCCTATCAACATCTGAGAAAAAAACATCCAGGGTCTCAGGTAAGAGGACCTCAACTTTACCCTCTTCCCCAAGAGTGGAGGAAAGTCACTCAAACACTTTGGAGGAATAAGCTCTGTCCACCACCCCAGTGGCTGGAAACCGGGAATGGTAAGGACTCCCTAGTTCCACTCGTAGAATACAGGGGGGGCAATGCGTGTTGAGGAGTCGTAGGGAAAAATGCTGTGGTAACGATGCAATAGGCAAACCAAGTTCCCTACAATTTTAAAAGGAAATCAACCCCAATTTATGCAATCCACTGATTGGCATGGATGGGCAGCATACCACAGTAATACCACTCAGTCTGCCTCTAGTGGCCTTATGGAACACTTCATTTCTACAGAGTTTATTGCAACCTAGATAAAGTATATTGTATTAGTGGTTACTAGTGTGAATTTGGTTTGATAAAAGCACACCTGACTGGGCAACACTTGCCACAAAGTGAGATATTGTGAAAAAAATGGTAATGGACCCTGGAAAGGAAAGAAGAGATAAGATTAGTAATGAATTTTACTCACCCCTCTTTATAATCTAGCGGATGTGGTTAATATAGCTACAGGAGGTAGTCAAAAACCCTTCGAGGAAGATACTACCAGATCATGCAAATAATGTGAGATAAAAGTATTTGGGGAAGTCCACATACCAGCCCACACAATTTCCCCCTTCGGGCAATTCAACTGGGCCTCTAAGGACATAGAAATGTGACGAATATGATGCGTTTTGACTCACAAAAGTCTCCTTACCTTCAAAGACAGCACAGAATAAATAATATGGACCAATTTTCGTACCCATCCCATCAAGATAACATAACACTTCAAGGCCTTCACTGGACATAACAAATGATTGGGATCCGATCTGTCATAGAGGTGAGAAATAGTGGTGAGATGAATCAGTGAAAAGGATTTATCACCTTCTCTGGCTGCCAGTGTCTTAAGTAAGAAGGATCTGTCCAGGTATAGAAGGACGTAAGTAAATTGTAAATGTCTATCGTGGGACAACGCAGAGACTGAGACAGGCACATGGCAACCTTAGATTTTACACCCTGATGCCGTGCAAAGGACTGCATAACCTCCACACATGAAGCTTGAGTTTCAAGAATGGATGTGTATAAGATGTCAGATTATGGCTGCCTCAACAAAGATGGTCAAAGATAAAGTGAAAGAGGTGGGCACTCCTGAAGGTACTGCAAAAGTGGAAACTAGGGTTGAGCCAGCCAATCCCGTGCTCCCTACAGAATGTGACGAGGGGTTGAACGAATCATTGTTAAGACTCTGTGTAACAGATGAATCAGTAGGTAGGTGTATAGGTGCAATCCAGTGCAGTCCTGACTGAATGCATCTATTGCCACTGCCCCAGTGTGAAGTACCGGAGAGAAAAATGCTGATAGTTGAGTGTTCCAACGAGTGGCAAATGCATCAATCATCAGTGTCCTGAACCAAGAGCAAATCCAACAGAAAAACCCTTGATGAAGCATCCATTTTGTCTGGAGAATCTATTCCACCAAGCATGCTTGCCCTTTCAGCAATGGGGGCATTATTTATGTGACAGTTAATCCCACTATTAATTGGTAAAAAAGAAGCCCAAGAGTTGGCAGTGGGTGGTGGTGATGACTAGCTGCCTTCCCTCTAGTCTTACACTGTTAAATTAGGGATGACTAGCTTAGATAGTCCTCATGTAAGTTTTCACAAAATTCAAAAAACACACAAACCCTTCCTTCT